AGTGAATTTCATTTTTAATAAATTAATATCAACTGGCAGTGTTTAGTTTTCACTTATATCTTCTCAGGTGTTAAGCAGCACTAACGCAACTGAAAAGCTGTGAGTACGAAGATAGTTTCTCTTAATTACAGTATATTGCATCCTCTTGTTATTTGTAACAAAGAGGATTACAGCAGGCCTGTTAGGTCCGCGCATGCTCATTCTGCAGCATCCCCTCTCCTCTCCTCCACCTCCCAGTAAGTGAGGAGGATATGACACTTCCTGTGCATATCTTCAAAATAAGACATATAGGTATAGGTGAGTTTCAAGTTAGACCCCATTTTCTTCATTTAGCTGGGTTGTTGTGTTTTGGGCTACATTTTGTACCAAGGCAGTTAAGAAAAGCTTGGCCGTATGCCCTAAACTGATATACTTGTTAGCTAATGTTAGTATTTTAACATTACCTCCACCAATATTACCATTCATTCGGAGGGACGTGACTAGTAAAAGTGCACTATTAATTTTTTTAATGCCAGCTCTGGTTTGCACAGTTGGGATCACCTGGTAATGCTAGCTGCTAATGCTAACACTTTTAGTGCTCACGAGTCTGACGGTATAAATAAAGCAAGAAATTGTCACGACCCTTTCTAAATAAGTAGTTTTATTTTGAAATAAGGAAAACAACGCTTTCTCCCCTCCCACCGTGTGCTCCGCGGCAGTTTGACGCTGCTGAGGTGAGGAGAGGAGTGGAGAGCTCCGTCAGCGGTCTAGGGAGACCGTGGTGAGGAATCCCAGCAGCCCCAGGAGACTGAGACCGGCTGGACCCCAGAGGAGGACCCGAGAGAGAACCACGTTGGCACGGGAGAGGTCTCAATTCAGGTAACAGTATCTTGAAACAGGTTTATACTGCTTTTCCAAGGCAGGCAGGTGTTTCCTGAAGCGCTGCTGGAGCCGGAGAGGCGGCGGTCAGCGAGCGGCACGAAACGGCTTGTTAAATCTCAGGAGATGAGACATTCTATTAGTTACTTGCCGTAGCAGTCTGATTTATATGGCCTTTGTATCCGGGGTTGGTGTGCGGATAACGGGAAGTGAGGGGGGCTGATCATGGAAACACTGTATTGGCTGCACGTTTTTACTTTGCGCATAAATAGCGGCATATGTCGGATATCGAAGCCCATGTTCCAGCTTTAATGTGTCTATTTGTATTCTGCTGAGCTTGTTTTCCTATTCGGTAAGATACATGTGCGCTAATTAGATATGGCAAAGGTGGGGCTCTCAGTACAGCTTTTCAAAATATAATATTGTTTTTATAATTCCACTGAACAGCAAACATAAATCCATAGTTGCTATAAATCTACATAGAAGCCTTGCCTGAAAATAACATCATGGAGCATTCAGAAATAATCTTCAAACTCCTAGTTTGATGACATAACAAATTGTTAATTTGAGTGAAAGGTAGGATCAGTCATCAATAATGACTCCTCTCAGGAGGCTAAAGGTTTTCTATGTTTTGGTGTCAGCTGATATCAAACGAGGTCTTTCTTACTGTATGTCTCTGTGCATTTACTGCTTCCATCTGATGCAGTGGAGCCTGTTTTACTGTGCATGAGGAGTAATAAATTAATAATTCCAGAAGTGAATTGTTCTACAGAGCAGCAAGAGAGGAAAGAATGCCCATGTGGAAGCCTCAGTTTAGGCTACTTGCCAAGTATAATGGTTCTAAAATTGGAGTCTTGAGACTTCTAGCTCTTTATAAGGGGTTTCCTGGGGTCTAAAATCACTCAGTTGTCAGAGAACTTGCAAGGCTGGCTTTTTCAATAACAGATTTGAGTCTCACTGCTGTTATCGGCACACATACAGTACAGTGTAGAATGATGATACCATTTTTGATACATTTTTATTAGATAAGGGTCCATAGCTGTTTTGTATCCCAATCTGGAATTTTAGAAGAAAATGTGCCTATGCATTAGAGAGAGAAAACAATGTCTTCAGTGATTAAAGTACAAGGAAAACCTACCCCTTATTGTTATTATAGGAATTAAATGGGGCGTCAATGATGAGTACATGCACATATGTCTTTTTGTATTCCTGTAGCAAATAAAATGATTTATAACTTGGTATTTGGACAGCATTTCTTTTATAATTTGTTGCAGTAGTAGGTCTGTTCATAGCAGGTAGCGGAGCAATAATGCTGTTCAAATACAAAGGGATCACATAGAACAGGAATTAATGTTAGAAAAATCAAGCTGAGTGGACTTATAAGTAGAGGAAAGGGATTGTTGGGTTTTATGTCATGGCCAAGCCTACAATAGCTGGCAGCAGAAGATGATACTGCAGAGAAGACTGCTGCTCTGGGAGAATGGGAAGATGGGATATCCCTCCTCCTTGATGCAGGAGTGGGGGTGGATGAGGGATGGTCTGGCGCTCCCCTCCCTCGTTCTCGTTTCTCCTACTCTGTCTGTCTCTATGGTATACTGGTGAGTGACTGCTACTTAATCACTCCTCAGAGTGTAATCAGTCTGTCAGCAGAAGCAGACTCAATCAGACACTCCCCCCCATCACCAATACCACCAACATCCAAACATACTACCTCAGAGTGTAATCAGTCTGTCAGCAGAAGCAGACTCAATCAGACACTCCCCCCCATCACCAGTACCACCAACATCCGAACATACTAATTTATACATAAATGCAGGTAATTCCAAAGTGTTCACTTACTCTTTCTTGCCAATGTACAAATCAGCTAAGGGCTTTCATAATTGTAGTTGATTTCCAGCCAGCCGCTCTTTGTATAGCACCTTTTGTATAAGTTAGTGCAGTTTAGAGTGCTTTACAGATGACTGATAGGATTACAATAATACAGTATAAATGTAAACTAAATAAATGGAGACTAATTTGCATGTGGAATAGAAAGTGTAATAAATACATTAAACATTTTTTATGTCATTGGTCTAAAGAACATACAACCTACTGACTGACTCCATGCACACTGTACATCAATATTCACTTTGTGACACTACAGAAATCAATAGCCTAGAGTCAGTGAGAACAACATGGCCACATCATGAGCAGAATAAAGCAGTTAAAGTAACAGGATCTCTCTGTAATACATGGAGAGTGTGGAGAAAATAGTAGAAATGTAGGCTGGAGCACTATTATCCTCTGGTGATACAACCTCCCTAGATATCAGTAAAATTAACCTTTTTTAAGCAGATGATTTGTCAAAATCAAGGCTGACTGCCTTGTGTTAAATACTCCCATACAGTATAGATCCAAAGGAGCTGTCCGTGGTACTGGGTGTTAATTAGATCTGTCCATGGTGCCTGGTGTTCAGCATCTTGTTCTGTGTTTTTCTCTCCTCCATTTTAAACTGGATCTCAAAAGCCATTAAGACCTACTACCATAATTTCAAGAGAGTTGCAAAATCATCACCTGCCTGTCCTTGCTGACTGACCTATCAGCAGGGTTAAGCCACAATAACTTCTACCCATTTGCTCACATACAGTTTTTCTGGAAGTTAGCTTTAAAACCTGTGGGTTTTATAGTTGAGGATTAGACAATCACATGTTCATAATATCAGATATTCTTTATTAATATCAGTGTAACTATAATATTTTGCAGGGTGTTGTATTATTAGTTGTATGTAGGCTAGTGAGTGATTTCAGGTCTGTTTATAATGTCTCTTTCATTGTTATTCAGCCCTAAAAATATTGTTAGCCCAGTTTAATCAGGAGGGACTTCTGAAGGCTTGTGTAATATGTCTTGCTGTTACAAAGGAAATAAATTCATGGCAAGTGAAAACAAATTCATGTTGTTTGCCAACATCTTTAGTGTAAAAAATGTGTCAAACAGCCAAGAATGATAAACTCAGGAAGACTGAAAATCTGAAAAAATGCAAGGTGCCAGAGAAAATGATTCAGGAACCTGGCAAGAAAGAGT